GCATTTGCAGTGAGGGGCGCTGCCCACGCGGCATACGGCTGAGTCAAGGCTGTGGTAGCGAGGGAAAAAGCCCATGCGACGGAAGACCGAGTAGGAGCGGGGATATGCGGCAGTCCATTGAATGGCGAGGGCTGGTGTGGCTGCTGCCTCTTTACTGCGTCAGCATAAGTAAGAGGCGCGGCGACAACTTGCTGCTGAAAGGGCACTGGCATAGCCTAGGCAATCTGGTCCTGAAACACATGTCGGAGCATGGGAGCTAACGGGGTCGGTGGTTGCTCTTGCTGCTGCTGCGGGAGCTCTTGGCGCTGACAAAACGGCAGGAGGGAAAGCTGACGTGCGACCTCCTCATGCACAAAGTCTTTCTATTTGTGCTAGAAGGCGCGAGTGGTCATGCACAACGTCCAGTGCAGCGAGTGGTTGGTTAGGCTGAAATGGACGACGGGTGAGAGCTCGTTGCCGTCGCAATTCGTCATAGCTCTTGCACAAAGTTACAACTTCAGACACCGTGCCAGGAGACTTCGCAAGGGACATTTGAAATACGTCATCATCGACACCTTTCATAATGTGCTGGATCTTGGCATTTTCTCACATTGCGGCATCGATGCGCCTGCAGATATCGAGTATGTCTACGATATAGGCGGTAAACGTTTCGCCAGGTTCTTGTGCCCGTGTACACAGGCGTTGTTTGGCGCGCAACTTCTCCACGGCCGGGTGACCGAAAACCGAGGATATTGACTGCTTGAAAGCGGCCCACTTTTCGGACTCGGATTCGTGGCTTGTGTACCACAGCTTCACCACATTAGCCAAGTAAAAGTTGACCGTGCTCAACTTAGCAGCGTCATCCCACCTGTTTGGTCCACTGACTTTTTTGTAGGCAACAGCCAGTCCTTGACGTCCTGGTCTTCGGTGCTCACAAAGATCGGGGGGTCTCGCTGGTGAACCGGGCCGGGGCGAGCAGCGGCCGCGAAAGGTGCTGTCTGTTGGGCAGCCGTCAACTTGCATGGTCGACGGCAGGGTGCTGGATCAGAGATCAGGTGATGTAGTTACCCAGCACGATCCACCAAATGTAAAGGGGGTTTATTGAAGGAACTGAGCAAGCGGGTAGTAGCACGAAAGGAACGCAGGTGGACCCAGATGACAATGCTCGATCGCTGATCTCATGCCTTTTTCTTGTGTTGATGATAGTTGAGCCTATGATATCAACATCTTTCTTATTCACTATAAGAAGAACTTGCATGTCCCGTTTTGGTCCATGTGTAGCTTTGCACTAACAATTTATAACCAATATTGGCTGGATTAATTAACCAGAGGCAAACACAAATATCAATCACAGGTACAATATTATTAGAAGGTGTATTTCACATTGCAATGCCTTAATAATCAAAAAAAGCCCCCTGAAGTGGTATAACCCCTTCAGTCACGAATTATAATTCGCTGTCAGAAATGTGTCACATTGGCGTGGCATATTTCCAAGGCACTTTGTATAACATTACAAGTAAGAAAATCAAGGAAAACACTTTTTCATGTTAGTTTTAGTAATTACAGTTGAGGAGTGTGTAACTACCTAATAATTCTGCCACAAGTCAGCTACAGTACTTGCATTAAAATAATCCACAATTAGGTTCGAAATGCATGCACAATTTGTTCTTTGGTTGTATTTCTTTCGAATAAAGTAAAAAGATAGGTTTCACGGTAGACCTTGAAGGCGCCACGTCAAACAAGATTGATATGAGGGGTTTAACATCCCAAAACCACTATATGATTATGAGAGACTTAGTAGTGGAGGGCTCCGAAAACTCAGACCACCTGAGCTTCTTTAATGTGCCCCCAAATCTAAGCACAAGGGCCTACAGCATTTTTGCCTCCATCAAAAATGCAGCCCAGATTCGATCCCACGACCTGCGTGTCAGCAGTCGAGTACCTAGCCACTAGACTACTACGACGGGGCCACGTTGAACAATCATCGAACACGGTAGTGTATTTAGCAATACGCAGCGTAATGAAGTTAAATGACTGTCCATTCAGGAGGCCTGCAAGAATGCGCACACTAAGTTTCAAGCCATTTGATGCAACACGTGGTACGTGAAGTTGGCATGTACATTTGTACACACCGTGACTAAAAGGCTTAAACCATAAAAATTCCTAAAATTGACTAGAGGCAACTCTGGTGGTGTGATCATTTGGCCACCATGGGGATGATTGGTAGCACATGGATTTGCCTGGTGCTCATGCTTCATTACCGTGATTCCTTTATCGACATGCAGCCTGCCTAAGGCCAGTTGGAAACAGTTTCAAGCACCGGCGTGACTCAGTGGTAGAATACTGGGCTGGCATGCAGGAGACCCGGGTTCGAAACCGATTGTGTCCTTGGTGTTTTTATTTACTTAGTTTTTTACTTCGCAGAATAGTGGTTATGTACACTGGTGGCAGCAGACAATTATGGCACCAAAATAGACCTTCGTTATAATCTCATAACAGCTTTTGCTGTAAGGAATTCTTTTGATGTTGCTCCCTTTCTAAAAGAAAACCATTCAGTAGTGAATATTTTTTCTGTATGCCTGGCAGATTTATGTAACTCGATACCCCTCTATGAGCTATTTCGTCGTGTGACAAGACCTGCATCGGAAAAAAATGTCAAGTTAGATTTTCACAATGCTACTTGGATATCCTCAAAGAAAGTTCTGATCTATTGTTGAGTTTTACTCAAGTGCAACTTTTATCTCGTTCGACTACAAGTTATTCATTAAAAAAAAATGGCACCCGCGTTGGTTCACATGTGGTGCCTGCTCTGTGTAATATCTTCTTATCTTCCATTTACTGTGTTCTTAAGAGTGTTTACCATGACCAGAATTTTAGATATATAGAGGATTTTCTTGTTGTGATAAAACAAACCAAGAAGGCTCTGTAGCTGATATTTTAAGCATGTTCAGTGACAATGGCAAAGGTTTGAATTTCAATCACAAGCACACAAGGGATGGTAAACCGCAGTTTCTAGGTATACAGCTATGCTTACAGGCAAGTCACGCCTGCTGAATGTATTCGTCACGTGCGCGTAAGGAATTTTTGCCGTACAAGTGTGTTCATTCTATGATTGAGAAATGTGCAATTGCTATGACGTGTCTAAAATCTTCCTTAGTGAAGTCCTGCAATCACACTGCAACCAAGAGCTTTAATGCACAGTTAAATAGGTTGTGGCTCGTGTTGCCCATAAGTGCGGTTCCATCAGTTTTTAAGCTAAACCTCAGAGTTAAGCACCAGAAGTGCAAGAGTGAAACACAGAAGCAGACTGTAGCTATTGCCACAGAGTGGCTCACAATCTTAACAATTTGGTCACCAGGTACACGATTCCAGTAGTGTTCTCTGCTCCCCAAAAACTGTCGATGCTGTGCAGGCATATGTGTAAGAAAAATAAAAAACTGCAACGTTTTAAAAGCTGACCACCATTTCAAAGAAAGCTTTGAAACCGCTGCCTGGGAATCATCAGAAGCTTTTTTCATTCAGTCTTTGGCAGGCAAACTCACGAGTCGACTGATTCAGGCTCGGATCGAGTCGAGAGTCTCAGCGACTCCAAGTAAGTAATATTTGGGTGCGAGTCCGAGTGAGTCCAACTGTGAACAATTTCCGTGAGTGCGAGTCCAAGTGAGCTCTTACAGCAAAACCTATTTATTGAGCGAGTCTGCATGAGTTCCTATATTTTTGCCAACCTATGCTCATTGGATTCAGAGTGTGTTAGTAATATTCCATCCTTATCCTTGTTTGGCAATGCATTTTCTCATCTGAATGTACTATCATGAGCGCACTGGGATGTTCAAGTTGCACTGACTACTGCGCATGGTGTACACTACGTGTGACCTTCAGGTGCTGGTCAGTATAAAAAGTGGAGTGACGCAATAAATTATGTCAGCTGAGAGTCCCGTCTTCCTTCATGAGGAGTCATTTCGGTCTAAAAAATAATCACTATGAATTCACACCAACTAGCCCGCCAAGACATCGTCATGAATTATAGTTGCACACTTGCAACAGCCATGTGTGGAACACAATGACGTTATAAGAAACCATCATGTGGACAAACCTAATTATGCTTACAGTATGTTATGTTATAACATTAAATTATTGGGGTTTACGAGACACCACAGTAAAGGGCTCCAGAAATTTTGACCACCTGAAGTTCGTTATCACACACCTAAATCTAAATGCACAGGCATCAAGCATTTCAGCACTGACAAAAAATGTCCTCACTTCTGTCCTTTCCAGTTGGCTGCACTTATTTGCATTCATAATCATACGAGCAACAAAACACTGTTTTGAGAGTAGCTCAAACGGTGTTTATGACGTTGGATTCCACTCGTAGCATCTTGGTGCCTACATGCACTTGAAAACAGTGAATGACTCATCAATAAAACTTGTTATTCGAGAAGTTGGTCACTTGTGAGATTGTAAGCACTTAGCGTAACTATATCTCGAAACACTCGCTGGGTGGTGTGTTTCTTCAAGTGCAGTGTGCTTGATCGGGCAGGTTGGTGCAAAGTGAGTGAAGAATAAAACAGCGCCAACAAGACGAAGTCACAGCGCTGAACCAAGGTTTGTTACGGAACATTCGCAATATACATGAAACAGGTATTTTCACAGAACTACGAAACATACGCAGAAATACACATGTGATAATAGCCATATATAGAGCAAACATCAACTCGTCACAAGTAGATCGCAGGTATCTTAATTATTCACAGCCGTGAAACGAAATTGAGGGCACGATAACACAATAAGCATCGTTCTGTCGAATGAGGGAGGCTTCGCTAACCTAGCGTTCACGTTGCTCGTTATCGCGCCCCAGGACCGCACACTTATGAGATCGGCTGACAACCACAATTTTTACAATGGTCGGCCAAGTCTGTGCGTACGCGATTGTGAGTGCAGTTCAAGGGATTACCAATGTGTACAAAGTAGTATTTACAACCATACTAAAATGTCAGCTCGCATGCAAGCAACAAAAAACCCACCGGTGAGAACCAGCAGTAGCAGCAGCAGAAGTGGGGGGGCACACCCGGCTGTAGCCATGCTGCTGCGGCAGGTCGATGACGGCGGGGACGTGGTTCGTCAGCACCGCCACCGTAGCAGCGCCATAGCTCACTATCGCCGACCCGACGCCGAATGGCCGACCGAACCCTCCATGAGCTTATCGACGACACCCACCGTGGCGCACCATTATCGGCAGTGCAGCAGCTCGGGCCGCTTGGCTGCATCAATCAGCCGTTCACCGCCATGGCCGCCGTTACCTCGTCTCGATTGTTGTGGCTCTTTCCCCCAACGATCTAGTAACATTATTGCTCTGGCAAGGTTCTATTTGGCGTTGCATAAATTTGTTGCCAGACTTTGGGGTGGTTGTTGCCAGACTGCCGCTAAATTTGGCAGAAAATTGGTAGAATAGCGCGCTGTCGACGCGACACGATCAGCTGAGAAAGAAAAAAAAAGTAAGGGGGAAGGGGGGCAGCGCATCCCCTCCTGCGACTCTAATCAGTTTTCCCCGTAATCCCTAATACTGAGACGCGATATCTTAATCGCACAGCTGCGCACACAGCAAGAGAACGCGCCTCGACTTCTGTAATGGGAGGTTTATTCCGTTAATTAAAACGGCCTCTTAATTGCGCAGCAGCGCCGCGCTCGACTTCTGCTAGGCTCGGTTCCTTCCGTTAAATAAAACGGAATTGAAACGGCCTCTTAATTGCACGGCAGCACCGCGCTCGACTTCTGCTAGGCTCGGTTCCTTCCGTTAATTAAAACTGAATTGAAACAGCCTCTTAATTGCACAGCAGCACCGCGCTCGACATCTGCTAGGCTCCGCACCGAAGTGCACCGCGGATGGCACCAAACTCTTGCGGAGAAGCCACAACTACAAAAAACAATTCTGCCATATTTAGCGGCAGTCTGGCAACAACCACCCTTCCAGTCTGGCAACCACTTATGCAACGCCAAATGGAACCTTGTCATTGCTCTCCCCCCTCTCCAAGTCCACAGCGCGGACGGCTCCGCCCCCGAAAACGCGCGCACAGCGGAGCCAGTTGCCGCGTTCTTCAAAAACGCATGTCCGTCATAGAGTGATGTTAGAGTGTACTAGAACTTGATGTGGTAGGTGTTCTGTGGTGATGTCACAGAACACCTACCAGTTTGTCCGTACCAGTTTGGACATGGAACAACCTCCTAACAATCCGGACTACGCGTGGGAATATTGTAATAGAACAGAAGACAGCAGAAAGGGGGGTGGTATTGGGGCATTCATTCATAAAAGTACAGACTGGCAAAGGGTCAAGCAGGAGTGCAAGGAACATTTATGGCTAAAAGGGAAAGTGGCAGGTCAAATGACACTCCTTGGTTTCGTGTACTAGTGGACGGGAGCAAAGGCCAGAGAGGAAAACCAGGCAATGGTAGAGTGTATATCAAAAGACATTCAGGAATTAGGAAGAGAGCGCGAGATAATTATACTACGAGATATGAATACGCACATAGAAGATATAGATGGGTATACCGACCCGACAGGCAAAATGATCATCGCTATGTGTGAAAGGCTTGATTTCATCATTTACAACAGTACCGAGAAGTGTGAAGGGCAAATAACATGGGAGGTAGGAAGGCTGCAGTCGACGATAGATTATGCACTGATGTCACATAGGATGTATGATAAGCTCAGGGGAATGCACATAGATGAAGGTGGCTCCAGAAGTCTGGGTAGTGATCACAAACGTATCAAGCTAAGTTTTGGAAGAGCAGTGAAAGTGGGAAGGAGACAAGATGAGCAACTACAGGAAAATTTTTATTCAGAAAGGCAAATTGAAATAGACACTAAACAAATTGAGAAAGTAATCACGGAGGATAGTAAGACAGTGTGGACATACACGAATCTAATTAGACTCGTTAAGCTAGAGCTTGCTAAGACGCGTAACAAGTCACCCCGGAAAAGAAGACACAAACCCAAAAGTTGGTGGAATGAGGAAGAAAGCCATAGCAAAACGTCAGGAAGCCTCTAGGGAACACAGACATGCTAAGCAGCGGGGTGAACCGACAGATGATGTTGAAAGAAAATGGGAAAACTTTCTAAGCTGTAGAAGGGCTGCATCCCTTCTGATCAATGAAAAGATTAGAAGAAAGGGAGCTCAGTGGCTGGCAGAAGTACATAAAAAAGATAGAAAGGCAGCTGCGAAATTTTGGAACCATCTAAACTCCCTAAGAAATGAGACGAGCCTAGAGCAGAGTTTCGTAACTACAGCCCAAGGTGCCAGGCTAGAAGGGGACGAAGCTATTGAATATATAAGAACGGGTGACAGAAAAATTTCAACAAAGAAGTACTTTATGCACCACAATAGACAAGGACGAATCAAGTGGTGCAATGGCTCCATTTTCACAACGAGAGTGGGAAAGGGTTGAGAAAAGGGTTCCAATTAGTACATCAATAGGCCCAGATGGCATTCCAATTATGCTGACAAAGACTTTGGGTCCGAAGTCTAACAGACTTAGAGAGAGGCAGTGAGCAGAACAATAATCGATGGTGAAGTCCCCGATGGATGGAAACTTATCAGGATGAGCATGATCTATAAAGGAAAGGGGGACAAAGCTGACATAAACAACTTCCGTCCTATAACAGTGGCATCAGTGGTCTACAGGCTGGTGATGCAGGTTTAGACTGCAGGCATGGATAGATGATGAGGGGGTGCTGGGGGAACTGCAGAATGGGTTTCGGAAACACAGGAGGTTGGAAGACAATCGTTCTCACTGACGCAGTGCATCGAAATAGCAGAAAAGGAACACAGCCTAGGCCCCTGTGGCTAGCATTCTTGGATATCAAGGGAGCGTACGATAGCGTGGTTCAAGAGGAATTGTGTGGAATACTGGACACACTAGGCGTGGAAGATGTAGTCACTAATTTTTTAAAGGATATCTGTAAAAGCAACAAGGTAGTTATAAAGTGGGAAAAGCAGGTATCTATGCCCACAGAGGTGAAACGGGGGCTTAGACAGGGGTGTCCTCTGTCACCCTTGTTATTTATGATGTACCTACAAGGATTAGAGGCCAAATTAGAGGGGAGTGGACTGGGCTTCAACCTCTCTTTCGTCAAACAAGGAAAACTCATTGAACAGGCACTACCAGCATTGATGTACGCAGATGATATAGTGCTAATGGCCGACAACAAGGAACATTTGCAGAGATTGGTGGACATCTGCGGTAATGAGGGAGATAGGTTAGATTTTAGATTCAGTAAGGAAAAATCAGCAGTCATGATTTTCAATGACAACGACGGTAGTGAGCTTAGAATACAGGAGGTCACGCTAGAGATAACAGATAAATACAAATATCTGGGCGTATAGATAAACAATGGGGCTGAGTACCTAAGGGAACACGAAATATACGTGTCGACTAAAGGTAACAGGAATGCAGCGGTAATGAAAAACAGGGCACTGTGGAATTACAATAGGTATGAAGTTGTGAGAGGAATATGGAAAGGGGTCATGGTTCCTGGTCTGACGTTTGGCAGTGCGGTCTTGTGCATGAGATCAGAAGTTCAAGCAAGATTAGAAATTAAGCAACGTGGAATAGGTAGGCTCGCTTTAGGAGCTCACGGGAATACACCAAATCAGGGAGTACAAGGTGATGTGGGATGGACATCATTTGAGGGCAGGGAAGCTAGCAGCAAGATAAAATTTGAGAAGCGATTGAGAGAAATGGGGGAGGAGCATTGGGCTAGGAAGGTTTTCATCTACTTGTACATAAAGAATGTCGATACAAAATGGAGAAGCGAACCAGGAAATTGACTGGTAAATACTTAGAAAACAGCAGGCGGCCAAACCAAAAAGAACTATCGGTTAAGAAGAAAGTGAAGGAAACGGAGACTGGCTTGTGGAGAATTGGCATGATTAACAAGTCCGCGCTTGAGATCTATAGAACATTTAAGCAGGAAATTGCCAAGGAAAGAATCCATGATAATACCCGGGGTAGTTCTCTACTGTTTGAGGCCAGGATGGGAGTATTGCGAACCAAGACATATCGGGCCAAATACGAAGGGGTAGACACGGTATTCAGTGCATGTGGAGAGGAGGAGGAAACTGCCGAACATTTGATAATGTTCTGTAAAGGGGTTCACCCTATAGTTCAGGATGATGGCACAGAGTTTTTCAAAGCACTCGGGTTTATGGACAGGGAGGGCAAAATAGATTTTAAGCGGGTAGAATTGACTAGAAGAAGGTTGTCTCATTGGTGGCTAATGTAAAGGCACGAGTGGAAATTAAACCCTCGATTGCAAAGTACCAGTCCTCAACTTTACTATTGAAAAGAAAAAAAAAAAGATAAATCTAGTGGTTAGTTCACTCAATATTATGGCTAGGTGGCGTTAGCCGCCACCTGATCTAAAGGGTACAGCCACATCCATCCATCCATCTACATGAGAGAGAGTGTGACACGGGGAGAACTAATCCCCTCTCGTGTTGTATTTTGTAACAAGATTTTTACAAATGCAGCGCTTGTTGTGAAAGTGTTTTGGCGACTGGGTGTGGCGATGCGAGCTCACACGTGTGATTGGCTTCAGTGGAGACCCTTTGTTCAACTGAGGGTTCAAAAGAGGGCGTTTAAATTTGACTCGAGAGAACCGCTTGGTTGCGGGGATATGAGCTTAGCAATTTTATTGCTTACGACTTGAGCAATACATTCAGAGATGCTGACAACTAGCTGTTCCATCACCCTAGCCATAGCTTTTTAACAGCTATCTCGACTTCTTGGGCAATGTTCTTATCCGTGAACGTTTGACGTGCAGTAACGCCAGCATACCCATACTCTCTTTCCTTAATAATAGCCATTGCCTCCTTTCTAGAGCATCTCCTTTTATCAATGACCTCAAAAACTTGAATTTCTTGTTGTCTAATTGGACAATCCGAGTAGTCAATTCATCTACTCGAAACACCAGGGGCCACGCTTTAATCTCAGAAGGACATGAGGTGCCAGCAAAAGTCGCAATCACGGACTCTGTTGCGACGCATTTGTTGCCCACAACTCGATTGCATTAATAAACTACCACTACACCTGCCACAGAAAGCTTTTCTAGAGTTTCAGCAAGGCGCAGCTGCACGTCTCCACCTCGTACGATACCTTTTGTGCAAACCAGATGAGGTGGAACAAACGCACTCCCCGGAATCGATGCGAAGGACGAACATTTGAGAAGGCCTCTTATACATTCCTGGTCTGGCGATCTGCATACTGCCCCACCGCGACCAAACTGACGCACATCAGTTATGGTCTGGTAGCTAGGGGAGACTGCGTAAAGGTGTTCTTGAATGGCCCCTTGG